CTCAAAATACCAAAGCCATTCACTTGCTTTAGTCGCTAGAGCCAGTATAGAACACTATCACTATGAGCCACTTTGTTACACATGCTTATTAAAGAGCTGTTCAAATGAAAATAACCTGAGAACCTAAGTACACTCATACACTTCGTAAGCATAATTATCCAAGACACACAATTATGTCTTCAGGTATGTTTTAAGCCTGGTGATGAGAGGTAGAACGTTCTGATTTCAAAATGCTAGATCTGACCTTCAAAACTGTGATTATTTATATTACCGTATTACAGAGAATAATCGATTTTGAAACTTTTTGGCTTAATTACAAGATTAAAAGGTTGGTTACAGCTGAAATGATCTCTTTAGCTCATCAGAGAATTATGCAGCAATTCAAAGAGGGACAGAAGGAATAACCAGAGGGTTGAGGGAGAAGCAGGAAGAAACAGCGATAGCTTTTTTGTCGCAATTGCACTCTTTACAAAGACTAAGTCTTGAGTTATGCAAACTGAACAAAATACATCTCAGTCAATATATTTCAAATCTTCTCCTATGTAAGACAATACAGCTCCTGCTCAAGGAGTAATCCCTATGTTTGCCATGCACAGGTTTTCAAATGAAGATACGAAGATTTAAAAACAGTATGCTGAGCACATCGCACGTTTTCATTACACAGAACATGGGCATGGGACCAGGTGGCCTCACTGCATCTATGAGAAGAACACACATGGCAGTACCTAATAAAGCCTTCTTAACACAACCGTATCTCCAGCTGTGAGCTCCCTGTCTCTTCTGTCCTCAGTGAATGACTTTTTAAACAACCGTGACCACAAAGCACAGGCAACCCCAACACCTTACTTGCTGGAGCAGCCAGCCCTGGCCCTGGGAAGCGGCCAGAGGCCAAGCATCAAGGCCCAAGTCCAGCACCAGGCGCTGCGGCTTGCCTCCAGCTGCCCATCAGCGATCCCCTCCTTCGTCCCCAGGTTCCTGGCTGGCTATCTCACAATGGCACGCGCTCCTCAAACCCCCTCTTTGCTGGTGCATCTATGATTCATTTTCCAGACTGTATTTTATGCTCCCAGAGCACCTCAAGGGAGCAGCCTCATGAGCATCTGCAAGCTCCTTCCAGCGACAGTTTCCTCCCACCCCACCTGACATCCCGCAATTACTCAGTTAACCAAATTAGACACAAAAACAGCCGCGGCATTTGCAGGCCGGGGGCTGG